CTTGGTAGCTTTGGGGGAGGTTGATCTAAGGGACAGAATGGTCTGGTCCTCTGCTAAAGCTGGTGATAGCTTCAGGTGAGAACAGTTCTTCTTAAATGGAGAGAAGCCAGCAGAGGATTGCCTTTGTTATGGATAAAGTTTTTAATAGCTTTCAGTGGCCAAGAAGATGACAAAATTAAATTGCACCCCCTTTGAAGAACCAGTGGTGAGGACAGAATCTGAGCTAGACTGGAAAGTCCCTGAAGAGCACCTGATGCTGGAAACTGTCGCTGCCGTAGTGAATTCCCTGTTAGGTCATCCCTTAATGGCTTCAGAACTGGTCCTTGCTCCCCAGGATGGTCCATCTGCTCTTTTTTAGACACACTCATTTAATTCCTCACTCACAAGACATTTGCTTATTTATTTTCATTGTTCCTGATAATAATTCTAAGCCATTAGAGGGGAAAATTGTATTAAAAAATGCTGTTTCACACTTTATTTGTTTGATGATTTAGAGCGATAGAAAATAGCACATTTGCTGGCTTTTATAGTGTGATAATTACCCGCATCCATCAAGCCATTTCAGGGGAATAAACAAAAAACCAAGAAAATTACCCTATTAATGACATCCTTTATGGCAAATAGGAAGGATCTTTCTTTCGTGTTAAGGATAAGAAGGGGACTGTCCAGTTAAACTTAGGGTAACAAAAGCAAACTACCACTGTAGTGAAATGATTATCTAACACATCTGTAGCTTTGGGGCAAATACCTTCTGGGCCCATGACCCTTATGTCGGGTAATTAGAGTCAGAATCAGTTTTGAAGGATACTCAAGAACTCAGAAAATTACATGGAAGTAGAGATCAGAAATGCTGGAATTAGGTTCCGTGAAACACGTTTGGAAGCTGAAAGTCTTTCAGGTAGAACAGCAAGTTCCATACTTATAGAAGTGATACATAATCCACTTCAGGGACCTGCTTTTGTTTTGGTAGAAAGAGTAGGAAAAGGTAATTTAAAAGGATCAGTATATTACTTGCAGATTGTTGACTTCGGGGTAAGATGACATTTGAGTCATACAGCTATAACTTTTTTTATCTTGAGATTTTTTTTCACGTTCTGTAAATCTTGTGTTCTCTGGCAAAGCAGCAAGACATTATTCATACTGTAATCCAACAAATTGCTGAGTGTCAGGTTTTCAGGTTAAGCTTGGCCCTTTGTCTTGGTCAACCACTGCAAGGCTGACCCTTGGAAGTATGTGCTTAAGGCATTAGTCTCTCGGTTTGTTTGCAAGCCCAGTTTCTTGGAAGTTTGATATATCTTAACAGAGTTGCTGGTTTAGCACTATTTACGTAATTTTGCTTTTATTGGGGAACCAGGTTGAACCAGAAGGGACAGATTCTGCACTTGAAGCAGTGGCTCAAGGTCAGCTTTTTTGGCACTGTTGTGTTTTCTGTTGGCTGTTGCAGATGTTTTCTCTGAAGCAGTAGTAGTCTATAAAAAGATGGTTCTTAAGCAGGGCTGTTAAAATATTTATGCTGCCACCACCGCTTGTTAGTTTAGGTGGTTTGGGGCGATGGAAAATCCTTGCTCCATCTTTGCCGTGGTTAAAGGGAAGTGTCTGCTCAAGGCTGGATCAAAGTGAGTCCTGCTCTACTCCTAACTCTGTTTTCCCCAGGCAGAGGAATGTCACGAAACTGCTTCTGTCAACGGGGGCGAAGCATCGGGCAGTTCTCAGTCTGATAGTCTCGACACAGCCCAATTCAAGAGCTTTCGTGGATACCGAAAACATTTTTGCCAATTGATATAAGTGGTATTTTGCTTGTTCTGTGGGGTTGGGGTTTTTTGGTTTTGTTTTTTTTTTTTTTTCCTTTCTCTTTCCTTGTCTCTGTGGAGTGCATTTGTGCTATGATCTGAGTGGGACAGAGAAGGGAAGCAGCTTTAAGTCTCGACACAGCCCAATTCAAGAGCTTTCGTGGATACCGAAAACATTTTTGCCAATTGATATAAGTGGTATTTTGCTTGTTCTGTGGGGTTGGGGTTTTTTGGTTTTGTTTTTTTTTTTTTTTCCTTTCTCTTTCCTTGTCTCTGTGGAGTGCATTTGTGCTATGATCTGAGTGGGACAGAGAAGGGAAGCAGCTTTACGTGCTTTTTTTTTTTTTTTTTTTTCTTTTTAAGATTCTGACAGGATGGGTTTTGGTATTTTTCTAGCGGACACCTACTACATTTAGTATTTGGGCTGGGCTCCTAAAGGAAAAAGAACCATGCTATTTGATGAAACAAGTATTCAAAGTGATGCATATAGAAAAGGAAATTATTGGATATGCCTTACTGTGCATAATCTTGTCAGTTGTCTCCGGAATTAAGGATATTTTGATGTTGATCTGAGCCCCAGCCTGCGGGTGCAAGAGGGATGGTAACAGATCATACCGAATGACAGTGTTTTGTCAGTTCCCTCTGTCAAGGATTTTTGTCCCCAACAAGTGCCTGGCTGTTTTTCATAGTGAAAGCAGGAGGATGGTACCATAAGGTCGTACACAAAAGCCAGCCCTTCGTGGATGTTTATGCGCTCAATAACAGAACTCCTTTGATTGCAGCAATTTCTAGTCTTCCCGTGTCGCCTCCATTGTTACTCTACCTTGTAATCAATCATTTTATGTCTAGATTGAGCTAGCTCAGTCTGTGCCATACTTGCAGGAGCCTTCTTTTTCTCTTACTGGTTTTAAAGAGCAGCCCCAATTCTTTCTTTATTGCCTATCTTTACGTAAATCAGTCAGATTTGTGAGTGTAACTGAAAGCAGAATTTTACCTACTTTTAATTCTCTTCTGCGGTTAATTTTTTGAATTCCTAAGGATAAATGTGTAGGGATGTATAGGCTCTGCTTCCTAAAAGACTGGCCCAAACAAAAAAGTTAATTTCTAAAATTGGAGTCTGCTGTTACCAAGAGGCTGTTCTGTGGTAGGGTATTCTGATTTGTATATTATTACATATAGTTCTTTTTTATAAGCTGGAAATTCCTCCTCCCTTGCTGGTTTCTATCCAAGCAAGTCCTTTTTCTTTGTCTCTCCATGGACTGTTCTGTAAAGCTCAGCTTGGCTTTTTGCAGTCTGCAGTTTCAGATAACACAATAACCATGTTCCAATGTATTAAACTTTTAACATCCTCAAGATTCAATTAATCTTATCTTTACAACTCCCAATTACAGGCACTAATTAAGTGAAGGTTGCATTGTAGACTGGGGATATTACATTAATCATCAGCAGCCTTGTAGCCATGAATTAGTTCTTTCCCAATCCTTCAGCATTTTTCCCAGAAGGAATGGAATGTCTCATTTCCCTGTTTTAAGGGACATTAATCCCACAAAGGAGCTTTGGATCGGGATTAGTTTTATCACATTTATGTAAGTGATGAATGGTCTTTGTAAAATGAAAGCTACTAGCTTTGTCCCAGACAAATGAATTGTTTGATAATTATGCAATTTAAGGCACTGTCAAACTTTGGTCAGAGGATGTTGGGAGTCCATTGCTATATTTATTATTTTACAAGATTAGGTGCTACATAGTGTTTTTCCTTAGAATTTTTTTTAAGCCATCAGTTTAAATCGGCTTAATGTCTAACTCTTGAAGTGTCCTATATATGATTTCTGTCCTTTGTTATCCTTTCTAACCTGCCAGACCACAATAGGTAAATTTTGGTTTTGTACAGAAGCAATATGGGATATGATTTCTATCTGTTTCTCCTTACGTTGTAGATAAACTTTAGACTTCAAAATTGGGAAGCTGAGCAAGGGCACTGGCTGAAAGTCCTCTAAAATCAGGGTATTTCTGAGAGATCCTATCATAAGTAGAGCAATACTGTTTACCTGTTGTTGAGATTGTGCGGTTGCCTGCTACAATATCCTGTTTTCAGCTTGCTATAATGAGACATCATGCTTTTGACATCTTTATTGGAAATAACAAAAATAATGCATTTTTTATTATTAACATTAAAGAAAAGTTATAGCTGGCAATAAATGTCATTCTCACAAAGTAAATTTTCAAAATTCTCTGTTACAAAAAATGGTATGAGAGCCACATTTAACTAGATGCAGTATGTAAACAATAATTTACAAAATTCCATTGACATTATTATGTGTATCATCATGTTAAACGTGTTTAAGTGCATCATGGTATTTACTTACCTTGTTACAACCTGAACACATAAAATCTTCCTTGCCTGATTTTTGCTTCTGTGAATACTGAGGTAGTATAACTTCAAAGTTTTCACCCCTAATCATACAAAACTGTCTTTGAACAGTTGTTCCATGTACCCTTTAATGTTGTTTTCCTCAGAAGACCCTGCTTTTTCATTCACCTCATCAAGAAAATTATCAAATAGTTTAATTCTGTTATTTCACATCAGACAAGACAATCCAGCATAGATATAAGGAATAACTACTTCAGCAATTATAAAGAATATTTACTTTTTTGAATAAAACCAAAAAGCTTTGCACAGGGTTTTCTTTGGAAAAATGTATCTTTGTTCGCTGAGGCTATGCCAATGTACACAGACCCTCCTTCACACCTTCTCAGCCCATCCAGGATTTCTTGCCTGTTAATCTTGTCACACCCTCATGGTTTTATTTTGCTGGTATCTTTCCTGCAGAAAACATGCCTGCTGTTCCCTATACTGATTTATTTCTGTTTTTTCCAGTGCTGTGTCATCCCTTTGCCTTCTGGGTTCTCCTTCTACCAAGCGAAGTCCTGTGATGCTGTTTAAAAAAAAAATTGCAGGAAAATAACACACATCATATAACATGTCTAAGGACTTTTATTAAAATACTGGCTTTCTTCCATGTATTATAATTATGTGTTACTGATACCTTCCAGACTTCTAAAATTTTGGTTGTATTTCCAGGTGTTAATTGTAAGTGTGCTGTGCTAAAAGTTATTAACACGCTTGTTTCTAGCCGCTTTTTTCTTTCACTGTTTTCAGGTTAGAGTGTGATTTTCATTTTTTTTAATTTTGTGTTAACTTTCTCCTAGGTATGCCATACCTCCAGAACATGGCAAGAGATTGGAACGCCTGGCGAAAGGTAAGCTTTGCTTCTTCCTGTGTTTGGAAAAACACATGGGTGTATTCTCGGTGAAAAAGGAAGCATCCCAGCGGAGAATCCTACCCTTGATTTTTAAACGGATTGATACAGAATTGACGTTGAACTGGCTGCTATAAATTAATCTTGCAAGAGCTGTTTGGTGAACCCGCATTGGTATAACAGCTCAGAGTCAGAAACGTCCTGTCGGCAGTGAATTTTCCTGCTAGTGCAGCTGTTTTCTCGAAGCCTTGGTCTTCTGACACACCACGACCCTAACTGAAATTGATGGAAAACCCCCTTGAATTTTGAGCCATTGAGACCTAATGCTTCCACTGCTGGGAAATGGGTTTAATGAGACGGATCGTGCACCTCTGGGTGCGACGCGAGGTTTGTCCCAGTGAGGTGAGAGCTGGCGCTCCAGTTGTGTGGAGCGCAGCCTGGGGGTCTTCCTGGTACCCCCACATGGGCGTCCTGGGGGGCGAGGGGGTAGAAACTGTTCTTTCTTCCTGTGCTGTAAGTGGTACGTGCACAGTATTAGCATCCGTTACCTCCAGTCTTAAGTAGGAAGGCGCTTAGAAATTCAGCACCCGCATTCGTGGAGAGTAGCTAGTGGAGCTCTCGTTTCCCTCTGTGATGATACACGCTGTTCGTGGTGCCTCTCCCTTTATTCTCGCCTCTTCCTCCTTCATCTTTGCCGTGCAATCAAGTGCAATAAAGGCTATCTTAAAAAAAAAAAAAAAAAGGAAAAAAGAGTAGGGCTAGCTCAAGCTGTGGTAAACTTCCACCTCTCCCCAGGCTGGCTGTAAATTTTTGGCCTCACAAAGTGCCAGCCTCGGCTGCCGAGAGCCGTGTACGGGCTCCTGCCCGCCAAGGCCGTCCGCTAAGCGGCCGCCTGCCCAGCACCAGCAGCAAGCGCAGACTGCAGCACCCTGTCCTTGGCGTTTCCGCTGACTCCCGGTCGGTAACGCTGGGAGCTTCAGAGAAGATGTCTGACTGCAGAAGTACATCTTTTTTCATTTGTTGATGTTGTGTTTGGTTTCCGTTGCTATTTTCGTTCACTTGCAAATGTTGTAAGCGCTGCCCAGCTAAAAAAAGCTCCTGTCCCAGAATAATTAACTGAAAATCTACGTGTTTCATCTTCAGTGAGGCGTACTTTAATGATTTAAATCTGTTGTTGAAAGTTAGTGCGGCAGAAGCAGGCAGGAAAATCTGGAAGACTGTATTCTGAGGCGAGATAAAAAAACTGTTCTGATACTGTTCTTCTAGAAAGTAGACAAATTCATAGTAATGGCATTTCTTGCCGGTAGTCTGACACTCCATTGACTGTTTCGTACTTGAATAAAAAAGGAGAGGGTGTTGAATGAAGCAACTGGTTGTGTAGGATAAATGTAGAATAAATGGGTGTAAATGTCCTAGGGCATGGTAGTATTGTTTTCCTGTGCACTGAGAACCATGATCCCTAAATACAAATAATACTGAAAATTGCTGCTCAGAAATGTTGCATTTCAAAGCTATACAGTTCAGTGTAGTCATTTGCCAGGTTTTATAAAAGCTACTTTTTCATCTCTTACAAAGTCAATAAATCCAGATGACCTGTGTTCTGTAGAATCTGAAATACCACACCAAAGTCTGATGTATGTAATGCTAAGTCGCTTGCCGTTTGTAACTTACTGATCATCAATTTTTGAGACGCATCGATGGTTGGCAATGTATAAGCCAGAAGCAAATTATCAATGATCTTGTCTTTATTTTAGTTTTCTGTTGCTTAGTACCTTTTGGAAGTTGGGGTGAGTAATGTTTTGAAATTACAGTGGAGCAGTGTTGCTGCTTGGGCATTCTCCCTGTCCTGTGCGTCAGTGGTCTATACTATAAAGAAGTTTACTATGGAGAAATGAGTGTGCAATTAATATGGAAAATGAATAGCTGAGCTGTAAATGGGCTCACTGGGAGAGCTGTGGAGCCCATGGAGAGAATGTTAATGTGTTGCCATGTTATTGGTGCTAATCACTTAAAATGTGCTTCTTTATTAGTAGCTTTAATGAGAGCCACTTAAACTGTGCATTAAAAAGAGGAACTGCAGAGAGGGACGACAGACTGGGTAGCAGACAGTCATAATTTTAATTGAAATGCTTTTAGTGCAAAAATATAAGAAAACCTGGAATCTAGGAATCCTTTTCGCTTTCTCAAACCCCTTCCATTATGCCTCATCAATTAGTTTTGTTTCCAGAGCTTGGGTTATTTATTTTCCTAAATGGTGATGGTTTTTAATCCCTATAAACGCCTAATTTGTTATTGAATCACCCACTTGGAGTGGAACACATGGTCTTGAAGAAAACGATGTTACATTGGTTGAGCTGACATTTCTGGGAGCGAAGTGCTGACATCAAGGGGTTTGTTCAGTTTTTACCACCATTTTAGTGTTTTCAATTATTTGTGATTTGTTTTACTAGCTCAGCGTGGATCTTGTAGCTATGGTAGAACTTAACGCTTCATAGTGCTGAGACGCTGAGTCGCATCATCCTGCCTCTGCCAGACTTGTTAGTGACCAGGGTGGCCAGTGACTGTCGCTCCTTCCGCTGCCTTGTGATGGATGCTTTGTTTCCTTCCTTTCTTTTGACTGTTAACATCTACGTGCTTATTTTGTTCCTTTAGGGGGTGGTATATAGGGCAGATCGGTCTGGAATCTTATTACTTCCCCAGGAATAAGCTGCCCATCAGAGAAGGTATAGAAAGGACATAGTGGTGTTTGGAGCCAATGGTGCATGCTTGTCATGTTTTCCTTGTCCATATGCAGCAAAAGGATGGCTCAGGGTTTAGGGTACTAGCCAAAACTTGAGACAGACAGGCTCTGTTTCTTAATTTGCTGGGGTTTTACTGAGATTTTGGCCAAGTTGCTTATTCCCAGACATAGAAGACTTCGATGCTCAACGTGCAAGTTTTTGTCACAAAGTTTATCTGGTATTTTAAACAATGAAGGGTGTGCTAATTACTGACATCTTCGGTTGTATGCCTATTGTTTTGATCTATATAAACTATTGAGGCAGGTTTTCATTTTGCCAGCTTGTCTCTGCTTAAGCAATGATTGGATATAATATTCCTATAGCGATGCTCCTCTTTTTAATGTCTCTACAGGATTTTTTCCAGGAAGCTCTCAGGGATGTGATGCTTTCCTCCGTCACAAGATGACCCTCATTTCGCCCTCAATTTTGAAGAAGTATGGTATTCCTTTTGACCGGGTATGTACAAAGGAGGCATTGAAGACACTGGCAAGTTGTTGAGGCACACAAAGCACGGCACCCCTCTTTTAAGGAAACAATTCATTGCAAGCCGCTGGGGAGCAATTTGCTTAATTTCTAAATGCATTATTATGCTAAATGTATCCTATCAGTGTAAACCAGGTGGCTGCCTGTAAGTGAGGATTCGTGGTTTGGCTAAGACACTTTCTCTGAAGTGCTTCTCTTCGTAAAAGCTTTCACTAGCACTAACTTTGTCAATTAGGGAGCCTCTCCAGGTAGAGAGGGACAAACTGTAATACAGATGCTGTGGCTTTTCAATAGGCAGCATAACTCACTGAACACGGACTTTTTTCTCCTGGATCTGGTATGAACCAAAAACTGGAGTTAGACGCGCTGGTTCTCTGTTGTGTAACCGTTCTTTCTACGCTAAGCCAGTAAGGATCCGTGAATCTCTTAAGTCCTCTTATTCGAAATGAGAGTTCATGTTTATTCGGTATGATCGTTTTAATATGCTTGTTCTTAAAGTCTTCTGGCAAGAAGTAAATCTCCTCAGGCAAGCGTGCTTACCGCGGATTTAGTATCTGTGCAGAATCAGTCAGGCGGCTGCTGCTGCTGCGTGGTCCCGGCAGAGCGAGCCCGTGCTGCCAGCACGGCCAGGGACAGCCCTTGGCTGTGGGGAAGGGAACCAAGTTAGAGGCACCAGCGGGAAGTGTCAAAAGAATGCCTGACTCAAACTGATTGCATGCTTCCCCATCCCCTCTGCATCATCATCTGTAGATATTATGGCTGTCTTTTTCTAAGAAAGATCTCTCAGGTTCTGATATTTTTTTTTTTTTAAGCAAGGTTTTGCTAGAGTTAGTCCACCTGAGGCAAGGTGTAACACCTATTTTGATGAGCCTGGTGATTCTTTGAGATGGAAGTAAAAGATCTTGGCTCTTTTATAGCATAAAAACTATGAATTCATTCAATTTACTGCTCCAGAGACTGTTTCATTTTTCCTAGTGGAAGGCTATGATGAATGAAATTTGAAGTGTAATCATCTGGCTTGTCAGATGAGCTTGCTGTCGGTGCAGGGGAGACTTGCACAAAGCAATGTGGTGCTTATGGTTCAACGTCAGTGGCTGGACTTGGCCTAGTTTGCCCATGATGGTTGATATTAAATTGTTCATAGAGAGCAACAAACCGTTTTTCTTGTAATTCTGTCTGTGGAACCTAATTCCCAAGTGTGAAAACACAGCTACCTGCTGCACATGGTTGAAAATAATAATGAAAATATCTAATTGTAGGATCAGAATTTTTGGCAAGGATTTTCACTTTACAAATTTCAGGAAAGTGGATAATGCGGATTGGAATGTGGGAGGCATCTCAGTTTAACGCATAGATGCCCCTCTGATAAATGACTTTTGATAGAGGATAAAAGATGTGCTCTATCCCGACCATATTCAGAAAAGAGTACAAAATCTGTAGCCAGTGCAAGCTCCTGAAAAATCTGTCTGACCTTATCTTTATTAATTGGCCTAAACTGTCAAGTTTAAGGATTTCTTATGCTTCTTTCTGCTTCAGTATCAGTTGAACACTGTGTCTTGCTCCTTCCTGTGGTGTTTTCATTATGAAGTTGTTTTAACCAGAAGCCGTAAGTGGTGCAATAATTGGCTGAACTGCATGCACTGGCTTATCTAAAGAAGCAGCCGAAAAGAATAATTTCAAAAGTACCTATTGGTGCACACTAGCCGTTCTAAGTGAAGTTCACCATGCGATCCTTTGGTGACATGCAGTTGTCCTGCAGAATGGAGGCAAGTAGGAAATGGGAATTAATTTCTGCCATTTCATTCAAGCAGCATGCTGGGGCAGTGCTCCTGGGTCTGCCAGAGGTGAGAAAGTGAAGGAAATTCTTGCAGGACTCCAAATGTTTGAATGTTGTGGGTGGGCATATTTTTCTCCAGAATAATACGTTATTATATGTTTGCTTTTCCATCTACCTGAGGAAAGTGGCATTGACTAGTAATTACATACTAAGTGATTTCTGATCAATAACCAACCAAGAGGAGCAAAGGAATTTGTAAAAAGGCGGGAGAGGAAAACTTTCCAAGCATATCCCAAGTCAGGTTTACTGAGCTGTATGGTGATAGGGCTGGGACACAAAGTGGTTTAAATAAGGGAGTTTCTAATTAATTTCTTGGTAAAAAGTCTTTCCCTGCTTAGCTAGGCTTCCCACTATGAGTCCTCCCACTATGATGTCTGGCATGAACGTTTTTTGCAGATTGATGTCTGGTGTCTCCTTCATACTGAGTATATGTAGACCTTTAAAATATGTGCTATCTGAATGCTAAGAATCTGATTTTTGTCTCCCAATTTTTTTACAAAAAATAGAAGACACCAGTGTACACATAGAGGACTATGTTACTGTCAAAACCAAACTTTTTAAAAGAAGGGGTATTATTAACATGTTACTTAAATATAATTCCTAATCCTGATTTACAGAGTGTGAAGGGAATGTATTTTTTATGATAGCTTCTCTCTTTTCTCTGGCACTCGCTGGAAGGATGTTTTTAAATGTAAAAAGGAGGAGCAGCTCTTTAGTCTGAGCAGCCTATATCTGAATACCTCCTGTCCTGAAATAGCAGCTTTTGAAGGAGGATCGCTATTATTCAGGAACAGCGAACATGTGCCATTTTTCTTTAGAAACAGAGATAGGATCCCTTCGTCAAAATTCTTGGCAGATTTCAATGAAATGAATAGGCACGCATTTATAAATCTCTATAATGGTATTTACTTCTGGAAAAAAAGAAACAGATCAATACTAGGGCTTTTTAATAATTAAAAATGTGTATTTCTGTAATCTCCTATTGATTTCTCCATTTATTCGTCAAGAGCTTGCAGAAGTCAGTAAATTTAGGGCTTTCTCCATGAGTGGCAGTTTGTGCTGGCTTTCCTTCAATAGTTATTACTTTTCTGCATGGCCTATCCATCATCTTGAGTGCTTTCTAATTTATTGTAGGGATAATGTTGACAGCAGTGACATGGAGGACATACACTGTGGGCTTGAAATGAAGACACCAGGATGTAGATTTCCTGACAGAAACATAATCTTTCCGTCTTCTGAAGTTAGCAATCTACCACTCTGCTCTGATTTATGGAGGGGGCTGGATGGGAGGATGCTCTGTGACGCTGGGTACGGGCCGGACTTCAGCACCTCTCATCCAGAAATACTGCAGAAGCTTCATGTATTATCACATCAGCTTTTGTTAGCTATCTTTTTTTTTTTTTTTTTTAATTATTCTGCTAATGTTAATAACATTAGCAAGTTTAGGTGTTAGTCCAGCCAAGTGGGTCAGTGTTTTAACTTCTGCCTGTTTACATTTTCTATTTGGACCCATCCTTGTCTTTATAAGTGTAGGGTCTTTGAGATCTCTGTAGGCTCTGAACTGCTGTGTGTGAATTACTGCTGGTGGGAAGGAATCAAGTGGAGTTGCTTGGCATGTGACTGCTGCGAAAGGTCTGTCAGCACTTCTGGGTTGGAAAGACAGGGAAGGTCAAATTTTTCCTCTTTCCTAATCCATAGAAGGGAGGTGCTGTTGCATGCTTGCTAAGCTAGAGAGCTGAACTGGAAGGGTTGCTCCGAGTGTGCTTATCACTGCCAGTTGCTCTTATGATCTGTGCCATACTCTAAGAATTAAATTCCTTTTTCCCCTGATGTCTCCTCTGAATAAGATTTAAAATGAGTATTTTCTAGAAGCATCACAAATTGGCTGGCCTCTGATTACAGCTGTAATCTGCCGAGTTTTTAAACCTTATGTTAATAATGTCCATAACGCTTATTGTTGTTTTAATTGTACTTAAGTGGACAAATGGTGAGCTGTAATTTTCAGGTTGTTCGACTTATGGGTGAACAAATGGAAGTAATGTGAGTGGGGAAATAAATACAGGGAAAGGCAGCATGAACTTCAGTAGGACCCTGCAATGTAGAGTGCATGTTAGGAGGGAAATCCAGTTTTCTTGGCTCCACTAGCGTGGTGGTGGGAGTGTAGATTTGGACTTAGCATGAGCTAAAGTGGTCACAATCTAAAGATTTATTGACCTTTTGGAATGCTGCAGCCTGTGACCTCTTTTGTAACTGGAGCCTGTGAGTCTAAATAGTTCAGATCTTGTGACCCCTTCTATCCGTTGTACTTTTGTACAATTGTCTTGTTTCCTTAATAGAAATGCTTCAGTGTTTCTGCAGTTAACAAGAAATTGTTCTAGGTTTAGCCAAGAGTTGGGAGTGACTGTTCTGCCTACTGTCCAGTTGAGAGAGTGAGAGATTTAACCAGTGAATTTTTTCTGCTGCGTCAACTGATCTGTGGGGTGTCTCTTCCTTTTATTTTTGTTTTTCAGATCACCCAGGAAGCTGGAGAGTTTATGATTACATTTCCTTACGGTTACCATGCTGGCTTCAATCATGGCTTCAACTGTGCTGAGTCTACCAACTTTGCCACTTTGCGATGGATTGACTATGGAAAAATGGCAACCCAAGTAGGTGTCTGTTTGGATGACTTAAACCCACTAGCTCATGGAATACAAAGGAATGAGAGTGGGAGACTTCCCCTTAAGAACAAAATGGCAAGTGCCATTGTTTTGTCAATGTGCTCTTTCATCGTGACGTTGCTGTTTTATGCCTGTTGTTAATTCGTGTCGTTTTGAGGGCATAGTAGTGACTTCTCGCATGCTAGGTGTTATATGCACCTTGTGAAGAGGTTGTTTTGAGACTAGTAAGTTAGGATCAGTTTTTTGATGCATCTAAACTGCATTTCACAGTGAGTACGGTGACTGATGTAACTGAATACAATTCATTAGGTACACATTGAAGGAGAAGGAATAAGCTGGAAATACTTTTAAGCTTTAATAAGACTATGGTAATAACCTTCTGAAAATATCAGAATTTCTCTGCACTGTGAAAAAGCTCTCAGTTAAGTCTGAAGAGGAGAGTCATGCTGGAATGGCTTTGTGTGGCTCTTTCTCGTTAGGGCAAATTTCTTGTATGTTTTGTTACTTTTGACAGTTCTGAAGTCAGTGATGGTTTTCATGGCAGCACGCATACTGCATTCTCTTGTTTTTAAGTGTGAAGTATAACTGATCAGCTTAACTGATTCAATAGGATCTGTGAATTTTTAAATTAGGGTTCAGTTCCACACAAGTCTTTGGGGAAAGGAGAGATTATTGCAGTGGGGTAGCAGTTTGAAATTGGCTCAGATGTTCCTTTCCAGAAAGGCAGACTTACTTTTCACTCTAGAATAGCATTTATAATATCTCCTTCACTTATTTTTCTTCCATCATCGCAGCTTGACTCTGTAACTTTGGTAATGCATCCTAACGCTTTGTTCTGGGCAAAACCAACTGTTCAAAACGAACTGCAAGTACCTCTGTGTCTCAATCTGTGGAACAATGCAGTGATGTCCATTTTTCCTTTACAAAGGTTTATGTTCTGAGAGTAGTAAAAGGTAGATGATTACTGAATGGCGTCATTCTCTTTCAGCCTTGGGATCCTGGGGTCCTTGACAGCGCCCTTTTTAACTCTCCACCTTTTTGCTGTAATGCCTTCGGCCATTTTTGAGCCAAGCTGAAACTTTCTGCACAGAATTAGATTCGGTAGCGATCAATGTTGTGTGTTCATCAGCCCGAGCGGCTGCTTTGTGACTAATGAGAGTCACACTTTTTTGCTTCTGGAGGCTAGTGCTGTTTCTGGCACTGCAGGCTTCAAGGGATCTTGCAGAATCACAAAAAACCCCCATGCTGTTTCTTCCTATTTTTCCTTTTTAACCCAGCTAGAAAAGGAAGATGGTTGTCACCCTACAGGAGGGGTTTTTTTTTCTGCTTTTTCCTCTCTTTGGTGTTCTGCATCCTCCCTCAGCAGCTGCGGGCAGGCGGTGTTTGGCTGTCCAATGGCACCGTACTCCATGCCTGAGTTCATCCCACAGAAAGCAAGCTCAGCCCTTTAGGTTCCTGAAAGGTGAAGTGTCTGTCTTGTTTGGTTTTTTTCGGTAATATCCATCCCATAGTTTCAAGGAGTCTGCCATTAGGCAGCAAGTTTGGGATCTGAGCTCTCTCTTTTTAGAAAAGAAACACATAGATTTTGTGATTTCATTTCTGAAACTACAGCGATGTAAAAGCATCTTCTGTTAGGCATGCTAGTGGCAGTGTCGTGAAATACAAAATACACGAACTCACTGTGCCAGTGGGGTAATGCTAGCAACGGCAACTGAAATGATTCTTGTAACAGAAAAATCCTCATGCTGAGAAGTTCTGTATTGGTCCTCCTTGTCCCCCACCAGTGTTCGAGGAGCGAACCCTGCGCTGGTGTCTGCAATCCCTTCGTATCCCAGCAAGGCTGTAGACCAGACCCTGTAGCAGTAGTGGAGGCTCCAGGGCCAGGTGGAGGCTGGAGTGGGAGTCGTGCATTTGAATGTGTTCTGGATGGGGAGGGATGGTAAGAAAAACCTGAAACCGTAAGAGGCCTCAAATCAGTGTTAAGTGTCTTAAACTCAAAAATAGCCAAGCAAACTTGGTTTGAAAATTTTAAAAATTGTGTTTGTCTGCTGTGACCTTGTATACCAGGTTTATCTGTAGCAAATGGTCATGGTATTACACCCCAGAAAATGGGGTTTATCATGGAAATTCTGACAGACCCTTAACTACAGCAGTGCCAGCAGGCACCACTCTAATATTAAAAGCAATTTTGGGTTCAGCCATGTGTTCACAAACAAGTGACATTTGGGAAGTGCAGTTTTAGATTGAGCCTCCATGCTTACATCGTTAAGCAGCGTAGCGTGAAATTACTGTACAAGCAGCATAGAGAGCTCTGAGCAAATCTAGGGAGAGAAAGTTGAAGTGTGGAAGGAGACGCCCAATTTATTTCCATTGCACTCGGTGACACTTGTCTGTTCAGAAACTTCCATTTAATATTGCCTAAACCACGCACTGCACACGTGTTAATTAACCCTTTGATACCTTACTGTCAGGTTCCAGATGAGGTATGAATGCTGTTACACTGTAAGGGCAAAAGGTTTGTTTAAATCTCATTTTAAGTTAAACAGGGACTTAATGAAATATCAGCTGACTGTGTACACTTGAGCTCCCTGCACATTCATGGAGAGAGAATTCGTGGAGAGACGCATCCTGGAGCATGTGATTTTTTTGGTTAACCACTGCAGGTTTACTGAATTTAAAGAAGGGCTATATTGATTTCTGTGCTCTCGGGCACAATCAGATTATCCCTGCCCACATCCGAGCAGGTTTGGTTTTTTTTCTTGTCACATACTCGTTTATAAAGTTCTTGGAAACTCTCGGCTGGGCGGCACTCTGCAGGTACATGCTCTTACTGCACTGAAGCCAGTGGGCTGGAAGGTGATTCTTCTCCTTTCCTCAGGTTAGCAATACGGCTGTCTTGTCCTACCAGTACTCATGAGATTGGTGACAAGGTAAGGTTCAAAATTAGCCAGTTGTAATGTTCTCCTGGACATTATCCTGGGGGTGAAATTTGGATTCTGCTCTACTGAGAGCGATATATGTCAATGGCATAGCTTAAGAGAGAGCTCACGTAGGACGGTAATGGCTCACCTCAGAGAAGCGTAGACAGTGCCGTGCTAATTGCCTGCCAGATGGATGAAATGTTCTGCTAACCACAGCAGAACCTGCCTGGGCTGTAAAAAATACATAATAACCAGACTGAAGTTTAAAGATCAGCTTCTTAGACACTGGTTCTGCTCTAATTGTAGAACAAGCATCAGCATTGGCAAAAGAAAAAAAAAAAGTAATGGCTGCAGAGTTGTGTAGGAAACTAATAGTGGGTAAATATGCTTGTATCTGTGTAAAGTTGTAACCAGGATGAACAGATGCTTAAAAATTCAAGTGGAAATTGGTTTGGTGAATGCCCAAGCGAATAAACTAGCTGTCCTGCTCGGTTCAAAGCTTTCTGAGAACCTAGTGAGAGGTTTCGGAGTCTCTTTCAAGACCTGCTTAGGAGAAGTTGATGTGAAGGAACTGGAAGGGTCTATGTATGACGGCAGCTCGGGTGTGATGCTGGGTTCCGTGTCTTTAGATGGCAGTTGTAACCATCGCTGACAAGTAGCCTCTTGCCGTAAGAACGTATTGACCAAAACATCTTTATTAACTAAACATAGGGCCAATACACGGAGATAAATTTGTGTCTTCATCTGTGTCAGAGGTCTCCAGTACCTGTTTAGCATGTCCCAGGCTCAGGTGGGCAGTTTGAGAGCTGACGGCTTTTGGCACATGGGTTACCACAAACGTTCAGCAGAATTCTCTGCTTTCTCTCTTCAGGTTTTCCCTGGTCTTGTTTCAGCTTTTTAGTTATAGCAGGTGCTTGCCTCTTAAATCCGATTTGCGGATCCTTCTAATAATTGCTTCTCTAGCTTCAATGCTGAGTGCTGGTACGTGACAGACAAAATTCATGTCATCTCTCATGATGTGTATAAATCCTCAGGACTGATTGCTCTCTGTTCTTAGCAAATGTCAGTCTCCTTAGATCCCGAGGAAGGGTATAACACTCTCTTTTACTTCATGTCTTTAATTATATGGTGGTGTACCATTGGGAAATAGATGTCTTGCCTACAGCTGGACATTGTACCCAGAAGTGTAAGAATTAACAGCTCTTTAACTGTTATCCCATTTATTGTCAATGTAAATGTCTCCATCTGTCCTCGAGGAACCTTGTGTTGCAGCTGACTTCTTTCCAGGCAAGGTGACTTTGAGGCCAACCACAGCTTGCCTATTCCACCCCACCTGTGTGCAAAGCTGTGGTCGAACGGCACATCTGCCTGTTGCTTGTCGAGGGGTGGGAGAGACACCTTGGGTTAATCTCGGGGCTCCCATAGATAATCCTGGTCCGCTGCCACTAGGTCTTTCCAGATACGTGATGGGAATTGTTTTCAGCGTTCTTTGCTATGCTGCATGGGGAGATCAAACTCTGGCAGGGAGTGCTTTTTTTGAGACGCAGTGCTATTTGACTAACATGAGCATCAATCTGTCACAGTGTGCGAGGTAAAAAGAGATCCAGAAGAAATGAGTTAAAAGGGTTTTTCGTAGTGTTGGAGATACTGGCACAATATTTCAGGAGTCAGCTGTAATCTGAATGCTCTTCTTTAGACCTTAACGTTACTGATTAAATAATACAGTTGAGTAGGGATGGTTTTATTTGTATATACTGTAGTTAATGTTTACCTGCATAGGCAGAGCCTAGAAAATTAGGGAGAAATATCTTCCTTTGTCCTCCATAGCTGGAGTTCTTTGGTCATTTGTCTTGCATTCACTCTTTGTCGTGTTCCTTTTTCTGTTTGGTTGTTGAAGAAGGCCTGGTGCGTAAGAGGCAGTAAATGATAATTTTCATTCCTTCCCATCAGGTTTTTTTTCTTTTTGTTTTGTTACGTGAGCCTGCAGTTCCTTTCTGCATTACTGTTTTGATTCGCTTTGTTTCTGAAAACTCCTGGATGCAGTCGGCGACAGACAGAGGGTCTTAC